CCTGGACCAGCCGAAGAGCGGGGGGGCCGCGCACGCCAGGGCCATGATCCAGGAGAAGGCGACGCCCATGATGGCGTGGTTCTCCCCGAAGCGGAAGTTGCTCATGGGCTTGCAGACCACTACGTATCTCTCGACGGCGAGGACGACCAGCGACCAGAGCGCGATTTCACCTGCACCGGGGAGAGAAGGGGAAGGGGGCACAGGGACCCTGAGCAACAGGAGGAGACAAACACGCTGGTGGCAGTGCAAGGCCTCCTCAGGCTGCTGTTCCTGGGGAAGGCCCCTGGCAGCAGGTAAATCTCCACCAAGAGTTTGGGAAGAGGAAAGAACTAAGGCCGGGTGCAGATGCAGTAGGAAGGCATGAGCAGACACCTCACTGCACTGCCGACCTTCAGGGACCGCTTTGCTGCTCTGTTTTGAGGTCCATGGATGGATCCCACCACTCATCCCAGACAGCACCTGCCCCTGCAAGCCTGTGGTCCTGCCCTGAGATGCAGCGAGTGCCCGTCATCCCGGGGTCTCCCCTCGCTGCCCACGGCTTTCCAGGGAACTTGTGCCACAAGGACCGACCCAATAAAACAGTTGCCTGTGGCTGAAGTCTGAACTGGTGGAGGAGGGCATTTTTAGACAGCTTTTATTCAACATCTGTTTCGGTCAAAGCCTGGCTGGCACAGTGAGGAGGACCAGCTCTGCTGGCCTGTGCCACCACGCACCGCATCAGAGCAAGCGACAGACGCAGCCCGGTGGACCAGGGAGGAACAAATTTGTCATCTCTCACATCAGCAAGCAAGCCAAAAAGATGTGCTAATCCAACAACTGCAAAATCTGCTACTGGTTGCTTTTCATTGCTGCACTATGGTTCTCAAGATTCTCAGCACATTGGCTACCAAAATAAGGTCAAAAAAAAAACCAAAAAAAAAGTGTCATTTGTTATTTTCTTCACCTCCCACCCTGAAACACTGCAGCCTCCTTGGCCCACAGCAGCAGTTGACCAAGGACATTCCAGGTGCCGTGTTTTTCCAAGATCAGCTGGGCATCCTCCCTCCACCTCCTAAAATTTGGGGCAACTCCTGGCAGGAGTTTTTTGAATGTTTGGAAAACTTACCACCCAGCGTTGCAAAGAAGCCTTCGATGTAGCACCCTGTTACTCCAAAGACAAAGTACCCGTTCATCGAAGTGTACATGGTGGTCGTGAAGCCTCCAAAGACCATGAAGAGGTCAGCGACCGCCAGGTTCAGAAGGATGTAGTTTAGAGGCGTCCGGAGCTTCTTGTGCTGGATGGTGACGTACAGGGTGAGGAAGTTGACGGGGAAGCCGAGCAGGATCAGCATGAACATGTAGGCAGCCAGCGCCGAATACTTCCAGGGCTCAGCCAGGTAGTACTGGGGGTACTCAAAGGGGCTCCGCACCACCCCGGTCTTGTTGGACATGGGCACGTAGAAGTCTTGGCCTTCTGTCCCGTTCATGGTTGCGGTTTGTGAGGTGCCTTTTGCACTTACTGAGGGGTGTTTTTCGAGCGCGGGGGGATCGCCTCTGCAGTGGGGCTCCCGCCACCTCTCGGCCTTCGCTGTCACCCCGAGGAGAAGTGGCCACGATCCCCTCCACAGGGCACCCCTTATAAAGTGCCCCCCGGGGTAAGCTCCAGGCATCGGTGTCAGCGCGATTAGGGCTTACAGTTATTAATCATAATCATCCAGAGGTAATTGGCTTTCCTGGGGAGGTATTAGGGTGACACCTGTTTCTGGCCCACGCTGTCATTGTTGGAGACCACGGCTCATGGTCATATGTAAAGAGGTAGCTCTGCACCACACCTTCCATTTGGGTGGGCCCAACCCTGACAGCAGCTCCACTTGACACAGCATCGCTCCCCAGGGAGCCAGGGTTTGGGGTGGTCCTTGCACCCCACAATCCCAAGCTGGACGGCCGCAGCTCATGCTGCCTGTCACTCTGCACTCAGGGGCTCCATTCCACCCTCCATGGGCACACGGGGGTGTGCTGCCCATCTCTGTGGAACACCTCAGTTTTCCTACGGAGAGGAACCGGGAATGGGATGTGTTACCATCGAGACGCTGGGGAAGACAAGGCCCATGGGGACCCTTCCCTTGGCTGTGCTTCCTCAAGGCTACTGGGCTGAACTTTCAGCTCTGACCAAGAAGCAGAACCTCCTTTCCATCCCCTGCTAATAGGAGGGATGTTCACAGCTCAAAACCTCAAGACTGTTGGTTTGGGAGATGTAGATGGTGGCTGGGCTGGGCAGACATGGTGTGGTGTGGTCCATCAGGGGTGTTCCAGGCCTGTTCCCACATGTGAAAGCAGATCCATGACACCAGCTAGTCCCCACTGTTAACGGCCATTCCTTGTGGGAGTGTTCAGGAAGGTGCTCTTGGGCAGCATGATTATCACCAACTCTCCTTTCACGTGCTCTCCGCCACCTCTTTTTCTGCTGCAGGATTTGGCTGGCGAGGTGTGAACACCACAGTGAAACACAGACCCTGCTGGCAGGTTTCCTGTTGTGCCTGCTCCTGTTGTGCCTGGCTTTGTGTGTGGTTTGAGTCGTGCCAGTTGCATTGGTAACACCCAAGAAACAACCTGCCCCCCGGACACCTGGGTGTCATTCTGCACTGGTGCTGAGAAGGCTGATGGACAAGGGCACTGAAGGGAGGTTCTGAGCTGAAGCCAACACTCAGCTTCATGTGCTGGTTGACAGACATCTTTGATCTCCCTGAAACCTTGTAGAATCATCAAATTCCACAGGGGATGCTGTTGCTGGAGCCCCCCCATGTCCTCCCCCTCTCTGCCTCCCCACTCAAGGCACTCAGTTGTGCTTGAAATGTGCCAACCAACAGCTGAGCTGGACATTACGTTTTCTTTATTTTTCAGAGACAATGAGACAACATGTAGAGCAGTGTGAGCACAATGAAACCAAACGCAGAGGATCTCTCTTCTGGAGAAGGTGGCTCCTTACAGTTCACACCATCACGATTAATCTTTTAAGCTGTGAAGCTATTTTCCCCCATCTCTTCTCTTTTTCTCTCCAACCATTTACCACCTCTCCCATTACCAGGCAATACTGTTCTGTCTGGCAGGCACCGGCTGGTCCCCCCAGGGAGGCTCAGCAAGGACTGTCTGCTCTGTTCTGTGGAGGGAAGAGGGGCTGGAAGGGAACTGAGCATCCACCTCCCCTCGCTGTCCTGGCTGCAGCCAGGGGCTGAGCTGGGTGTTCCTTACAGTCGGGAGGAGTGGGAATTGCCAGTGCACCCAGCACAGGAGGACATGCCAGAGCCACTGGAGCTCATGGGTGCAAGGTGGGCAGAAGCTCATGTCCTCTTGGCCTTAATAAACTTCCTTTAGTCCTGGCCTAGTTTTTACCAGTGTTCCCTGTGGGTTAGTTCAGCACACACAAAAAGTATAAAGGAAGAAAGCACAAAGCTCTGTACTCTCTCTAAAGGAGAGACTAAGCCGCGAGACCTTCGCTCCACGCAGGAAGGTCTGAAAGCTGAAGTGCTGGCCCCACAGACAAAGGCAGACCTGCTGGCTGTGGCCCAAGGCAGGCCACGACCACTCGGGACAGTCCCAAAGGTCTTTGCTTCGTGTTAATGAGCAATCGGCACCTCCTCACACCCTCCTGCTCATTCCAAGTCCCGCTCCATTAACTTTTCACACGTGTTGCCAAGGCAAGAGCAGCGCCGCTGCCCAGCTGCAAGCGCAGCTCTCCGCACTTGTGCCTGGGCACACAAGAGGGATTAAGGGTTTATCTTCCCCACACAGAAATGTGGCCCCCTAAGCTCTGATGCAATAAGCCACTGCTGAGGCCAGCAGCTGCTGCTGGAGCTCAGGGCCGGCGTGCGTCACCGCTGGAGGACGGCGGCGGGACAGGCAAGCAGGAAGGGGGTGTGAGAACAGGGCAAGGCAGAGGCAGCACCTGGCTAACCACCCAAAGCAGCCTCGGCCAAAAGCAGCGTGGTGGGACTCCTTGTACATCCAGGGACTTCTGATTGGGAAGTTACCCAAGAGCATCAGTGAGTGGCACAGGGCAGTCTGGGACCAGGACAACTTCACAACGTATGAGATGTCTCGAGTGTGGTTTTGCCTGGAAACACCCAGTATGCTTTTGAAACCTGGACTGCATTCACAGAGTCAGCTAAAAACAGAAAGAAGCTGATTTGCTTGATCCACTTTGTCTCTGTCACAGCAAACCCTATGTATTTATTTTTAAAATTTTTCCTTCCCACTAGCTCTGCAAAGCCAGCTCAGTTCCAGGAGAACAAGCTGAATTCCATCCTGGCTCCCATCTCCAACAGCATTGTTTATCCACGTCAGTCGCAAAGTCTTCACAGCAACAGATCGGGCAGAAAGCAGACAAGTGGTAATTAGAACAGAATGTTGTCAAAGTGGCAAATTAAGCAAACTTGGTCAGGAACCATCGAGGGACTCGGAAACCCTGCAGTGCCATTGGGGGATGTCACTTCCAAGAGGAACTCGGGCAGACACGGAAACATCACACGAGTTTCACGTGCAAAGTGCTGCTTACATGGTAGCTGCTTCATCAGCTCACCTCAGCCAATAGCTTCAGAAGCAGAACATCATTTCCCACCCCAAACAAAGGGAGGCTGTGACAGATGAGATGTCACAACAGTAGAACTCGTGGTAACATGGGCACAGTCTATGCTGGGTTGAAGTCCAGACCTAGAGCTCCGACCTGCACGACTCCTCCCGCTGCTGGAGAACTATCGGTGGCTGTCCTCAGGAGACTCAAGCACCTGGGACACGGGGCTGGGACTGGCTGCTCCTCACAGCAGCTGCCTGCTGGACTTGGGCCTAAACCACTGCTAGCAACTCAGCAGGGCTGTAGCTGTGGCTGAGCAGAACTTGCACAGCATGGAGGTTTTCTTTTTTCCCGCTCTGTCCCTCTCAGCCACCAGCCAGAGTGGGGAGGGGACAGAGCTGGGACAGCTGCCCAAAGGGTATCCACACCAGGTGATGATGTGCTCAGAAATAAAGGCTCAGAGAAGGGAGGAAGCAGGGAAGATGTGTCTGTGGCATTAGCCTCCCTAGGTGGCTGTTATTCATGCCAAGGCCCTGCTCTCCAGAAGCAGGCTGGACATCTGCCTGCCACAGGGCAGCAGCGAGTCAATTCTGTAGTGTCCTACTTGCAAACGTGGCTTTGCTTCCCTTAAACTACCTTTATCTCATGAGCTTTTTTTGTGCTTGCTCTTCTGATTTTCACCACAGTCCTGTGGGGAGGAGGTAAGGGAGCAAACTACAGCACGAGGGCCGAGCTGCTGCCCAAGGCTGACCCACCACGTTTGGTCAAGCAGCTGCATCATTAAAGTCCCCTCTGCAAAAGGCTGAAGCAGTAGGCAAGTCCATCTGCTTCCACTCGTGGCTCTGGACTGACACAACGCAGGGGAAATACCACTCAGAAATATTCCCTCAGCACATCACACCTTGGCAGATGAGCGCAGACAGGGCGCAGGCTGTGCCCGCCCCGCAGAGGCACCTTCCACGAGGAGTCACGGGAGCCATCCCAGCCTTCCAGTGCCACAGCAAGTGACATCACCTCTGATTTCCTCAGCCAAGAGCAAAGAACTCTCCTGTGCCAGGTCCAGAGGAGGTGCTGTGGGAACCCTGGCTGACTGTGGGCTCTTTGGCATTCCGGCCTGGCACCCTGGCACAGTTACAGCCATTCAAATACAGTCAGTTTAGCCCACCAGGTCACACACGTTCCTTCCACTAGTCATGAGCAGGATTCTCCCACTGGGAGTGGGATAGGTGGTCCTTGGTACCAAGATCAGTGTAACTCATCAGATCCCACTTTAAGAATTCTAAACTCTGATGCTGGTTTTGCCCAAATGGAATAGAAAGAGTTCAAGCTCAGAAGCAGCATTATAGCAAATTCCAAGACAAATAGTAATGAAAAATACTCCTATTTATTTGAAGATCTGTTAATAATGAGTACATATGAAAACAAATCAAGTCCTAACACAAGTTGGAGTAAAAACAACAATTACTTCCTGCAAAGATCTGCAGCACTTCAGCTGTTTGCCTGGGAAATGTAGAGGACATCCACAAAGGACAGACATTTTCATTTAAAAAAATAGTTAATTTTCTTCAGCTCAGCTCCACTCACGTATAAACTGGAAGAAGACAACAAGTTTCTAGGAAAACTATGAATCTAAGCAGTGCTCTGCCAAGCCAAGAGGGAAGTCTGTCAGTTGAGGTATAAGGCTGTTTTTCTTCATTGGTTGGACTCATCTATTCTCCGTCGACAGAATGGACAACAATTATGCTGGAGTACAAGAAGTTCATAATCTTCTGTATGAAACATCTGTTAATTAGGAACAGATTTAGGGACAAGTCAGCCCATGACTAGCTCAAAGAAAACACATGCTGAGCTCCACAGCTCCTCTACAGCACAGACATCGTGAAGCTGCTGTTACAAGAGAGCTGCTCCTCCACCTTTCAACTGCCCGAGCACACTAACCCGGAGCAGAGCAGCCAGTGCTTCGCAGGCCACTGCCAGTGTGCCACTGAAGAGGCTCAGACCAACTAGTCACTTTTGCAGAAGCAAGGACAAAAGTGAGACAGCTTCTGTGGAAGCATATGTGACTGAATTCGAGTCTCAGAAAGCTGCTCCTGAGAGGGGAAGGAGAGGGTGCAGGACAGAACCACAAACTAACTTAGTTACTGATGGATTTTCCCTGCTGGACCCGGCTGGAAGTCAGAGAGGCAGAGGAAAACCAAACAAACACACAGCAGCATTTGCTGTTCAGCCAAGGTTTGCTCGAGAGGCTCCGACTTGCTGTCAGTGCAGCTTCTCCAATTCAGCTGCCTCCCAGCTTTCAGAAGGCAGCTGCTCCTCTGTGCATCACACAGCTTATTTCTTGGTTTCATTGCCTTCTCTATTTTGACATCACTCGGTAATTTGCTGAATAGATTTTAAAGTATAAGGTTTCAATAAACAGAATTGTTTCAGCCATAGTGTTCTCAGTAGTTTTTGTTTGTTTGTTTTGTTTTGCTTGTTAAAAACCTCTCCATGAAAAGAGTACCTGAAAACACGATGGACACATGGTGATGGAGGCGTCTGGCAGCAGGGAACGGTAGTACTGCCACCGCAGGGGCTTCGGCCAGCGCTTGATCAGGACGTCCCTCCGGCTCATGGACTGGAGAACAGCACGATTCACAACCACTGGAACAAATTCTGAGCCTCCTTGCTGCAGGAGAGAAGGTTTAGAAAGAATTATTACCAGCTGCAAAGCCCTTGGAGGATTAATAAGATCTCATAAGAAGCAAAGTAAAATTCAGTAGAAAACGCTCCTACAGGATTGTCCCGAGTCCAGTCCCACCAAACTCACTTCCAGTTTTATCAGTACCTCCAGCAACAGCAGCATCCAGTCACACCTCTACCCCGGTGTCAGTGAGCTTCTGTTACTCATTTTAACCCAATTCCTTGTAAATAACACCTATGCCCACAGTCTTTATTAAAACCTCACAGTAACAACTGTTCTGTCCCTAGACACAGGAACACCCTGGGGCACAGCCCTGTTGTACTGTTACTGTTGCACAACGAGAAAACCAAATTCCAGGAATTTTTACTTTGAGAACCTTGTTTTGTGGGGTTTGTTTTTGGTGTTTTAAGAGACGAGTTAACTGGTAAATCCCTTTCCCTGTCAAGTTCCACCCCTCTCTTCCAGTCCCCTGCTTTGTGTCTCTCTTGCAGTAGTCTTTGTAACACATTCACCCCAGAAGAGTGGCGTTGAGCATATGTTAAAATTCTCTCTTCACTTCTGTTGGTAGCAAGAGAGAAACAACTGGAACATACAGGCAAGGCTCCTACCTCAAAGCTCAGTTTTGCTGTAAAGGGATCATCATCTTCAGTAATATCCATATTGTCATCAAGCCTCAAACTCTGTGCATCTAGATGCATTTGGTAAGGAAGATAAAGAGCTCCTGTTGAATTAGCTGTCCTCACAGCAGCCAGCACTCACAGAATCAATGTGGAGGCATACAGCAGGTCTGGTATCCAGAGGGTCAGTGCATTCTCGAGCTGCCAGCATGCCCAGATTGACACAAAGTCCTAGAGAAGGGCTTGCTGTGGTTTACAGTGAGCAGGGAAAGTCAGCACTGCAGCTGCTGTAGAAGGGCAGAGCTGACCACAACCAAGCATGACATCAGCTCTGCCCTCTTCCCTCTCTGCCCTGTTCTGACAGATGACAAAAAGCATATGAAGCAACTTATTTAAATTACATTTGTAGCAGCTCTAGTCAGAGATCGTGTTTTCTTGTGCATGACTCTGCACTTAACATCGTGTGGCCCCCACAGCCGGCAGGAGCTCTGGACACCAAAGCAACACAACAGCTTCAGCAACACTGGCTTCCCTGGACTAGAAGGAAGTCTCTAAACAAGCTGTTACTGGATGTGAGTAACACACTTCAGATTCTTATACTAACTTGAAAAGGAAACACAATGCAATCGTTCTCCTATCAGTCATATGACAAAAAGAAAACTTTAAAACTAGGGGGTGTGGGGGGAACAAATTAAAAATAGTTGCTTTTTCCCCATAAGAAAAGGGCTGGAAAGCAATTTTCACCAAAAGGATACGGTCGCTCATTGTCTCCTGCCATTTCTTCTCTCTTTTATTCAACCTTGGAGCTTCAAGATCAATGAGAGCAACAGCCTCCTCATCTGTGATGCCATCTTCCAAATAGAACTCCACCAGATGCAGCACTTCTGAGGGGTGTGAAAGCAAGGAGCATTTGACCTGTGAGAACTTGGAAAACGCCTCCTGAAAGACACTGTGTCCCTCAAGCAGTGACACCCTCTGGCTTCTGCATCCACAGCGTTCTGCCCACACGTGGCAAGTTAAATAAAACCAAACCCCCCCCCAAAGTTCTCAAAGGATCACATCTGTGTGAACGAGACACTTCACACGCCCAGTGCCCCCACCAAAGCGATGCTCTGCTGCTCCTGCTCTCTTGCAATGAAACCCAACCACTCCTGCAACAAGAGGCAGCCACTGAGTCAAATCCAATAACATCAAAGGGAAAGTTTTGTTTGTCCAAGTAATATTCCAGAGAGAAGAAATTAAGTAGCAGCCACACATTCCAATTAGCATTTATCTGCCTGAAGAGCACAGCCACACGCGACAGCCCGACGCACCGTAGGAGGAAGCGGAGAAGACGAAAGGTTGTCTGCAGTTAATGCAGACGTTCCCCAAGTTATTTAGCAGAGGGTTGTTGGTTGAGCACCTGTAACACAAGGGCACGAGCTCCTGCAAAGACACACACAGAGAAAAGTCATCATAAAGAGATCAGTATGTCCAGAACTCTGTTTTCAATTAAATATGGTCTCCTTTGGTTTACACCACTGATGCTGCAACAGCGCTGATCTGCAGAAATCCTGCTGTGAAATCAGATCCTTTAACATCTGAAAATGCTTTCCCTGTTCAATAAACCAGCACGTTTTCACATTAAAAAAAGCTGTCGTCACCATTCTAACACTTACATTTTCACCTCAAATTTCCACCTTCCCTTTGCAGTAACAGAAACAGAATTCTGCATCAAAGACAGTGACAAAAGAAGTCCAAGAGAAGGTTACCAAAGTAAAGTTTTTTGCTCTAAGGTTTGATCAAGTTCAAGCTGTCCAATTAATTAATCTCTCTTCTTTTCAAGAGCACAGTTATTTTGGGCAGTTCTTAAGACTGTGTTTCTATTATTTCAGGTGGCCAGATACATGTGTTCACTTGCACAATACAGTTTATTTTTAGTGAGTACTCCATGAGACGTGGCTTTATAAAGCACTGCAGAAAGTCAGACTTCAGTTAGAGAAGAAAAGGTGGTAAAATACGACTTAAGGCAGGAAGGTCATTCTGGGGATTGGGGGAGGAGGGGAGGAGTGCTAGGAGTGGGACAAATGAAAGTGACCTCCAGCTGCAGAGAGACACCCAGACCGTGGAGTAATTGCAAGTGGATTGGAGAGAAAAGGGCTTGAGAGAATTAATAGGCTGAGAGGAAGGTGGATGCAAGACAGGCGAGGGAGGGTGCAAGCTGCCCATAAAGAAAGGGACGACTTTAATTTGTTCTCAGGAGCAAAAGAAGTCTGACCTGAAGACTACCAACAAAAGCACCGCAGAAATGCGACCGTATCACAGAGCTGTGCATAATGCACCTCAGGCTTCTTTGTGCACGCAGCAGCTCAGATCCCTGGATCAGGCCATGCACTAAGGCCTGCCAGGGAGCGTCCAGGACTCACCTCGCTGTCGTGGAAGGGCTTGGAGCGCACCGTCAGGCTGCCCAGCTGCACTGACTGCTGGAACCTGGCGGGGACCCGCAGGCCCTGCAGCCTGGCGTAGGCGTGACGAGCCAGCTTGTACGCACCCAGAGCTTTGCTCTGCTTGGCCAGGGCAAATAAAGTATTGCTAGAATTTAATTAAGGAATAAAAATGCATATGGCATCTAGGAAAATCTGTGCTACTCTTTCTAATCAGAGGTGCTGTGTAACAAAGCACATCCAGCACCGGTACCTCCAAGAGGCTCTAACAATGGGAATTACTTACACAGCTCCTTCTAAAACTAAGTGTGACAGAACCATCAAAATGTCTGTGCGTGGTCATTAGCAAAGGAAGGAACTGACTGTACATAGATATTCCTTTAGTTGAGTATTCTGACTCCATTTACAAAATTTCAGTAATTTTAGGGTGAATGGATTCTACCCCATCAAAATAAATAAAAATCCTTACAACACTGGCAGCCCATAGACACCAGCTAAATACACGTTCTTCCTGTAAACAGCATGTGCTCTGCCTCGCTCACCAAGGGTCGTCCTTCCCTTCCACCAAGGGACAACAGGAACAGCTGCTTAGGAAGCTACTGATCACAAGGCATGTTAAGAAAGACTTTATGACTGGTTATACATTTATAAGTGAGTAAGTCACAAAGAGGAGAGCTAATTTCCTATCCAAAGCCACAAATTAAGTGAAAACAAAAAATCAGAGGCCTTGCTGTGGCATCCAGTGACTCTCCTTGTTCTCTTTACAGGCAGGGCCATTTCTGCAGGGCTCACACAGATGTTTATGCCGTGCTCTCCACAATGGGCTAACAAAGCTGTGCACATGGTTGGCAGACAGACACTGCAGAGCTATGCCAGCCTCGGGCAAGGCAAAAGCCCCTTGCTCCCCTGCTCCTGTCCAGTTCAGCCTCCTTGCAACAATGCTGTCAGGGTTCAGAGCCAACACCCTGCTGCAGTGACTGGTACCCTGGAACGTGCTGCTCTGACAAAGGCAGTACACTGGCCTGGGTGGATGGTTTTGAGAATTACATGTTAGTTCACTTGTACAGCTCTACAAAACTATTAAAATAAATAATTAAAAATAGTAGTGTGGTTAAACACACAACGGTTTGCAGATGCTGATTATTTCCTTAGGGACAAAAGTCAGTTTCCATTAACTATAACCGACAGTGAAACTGAAGATACCCTACAGGAGATCTCTGCATTGTGGATCAACATCAATTATTCCTTTCATGTATCTCACAAGATAACTTCTAGATTTTGTACTGTATTGGAAGGATACACTTTAGAGATCCCCAAAGGAGTCTCCTTTGTTAAGCTGTGAAGCAGAAACCTGGAAATATTGAAGAGGGTTTCAGGCAAGTGGAAACTGAAAGGCTCCTCCTGCAGTATTAAAAATACAGACACGTATTGCTAAGCTGGAAAACCAACAACTCGTACCACTAAGAATCACAACATGAGGCATCTCAAGTACCGTGTTGCTTTCATACAGTTGGAAAAAGGGGAGGTGCTGACAGAATATGGCAAGTGGATTTTGCATGTCCTTATCACCAGAGCTCACGCAAAAAAAACGAAAGGAAGATCCATGTAGTTAAACCAGAATCTTCAACAGGGTATTTCAAAAGGAGGGCAGACAGACCAGCAGTACAGGAGAGTCTCCACCACTGTAAGGCCTGAAGTAGCCTGGCTGGCACAGTCTCTTCTTTTGGGCAAGGACACAGATCAGGAGTGCTCAAATGTTTTACAAAGAGCTTTTCACCAGCAGTGGCAGCAATATCAGTGTAATTGCCCCTCACTGACTGCTTATCATCCTGGAGGAGCTGACACCCATCGCTGCTGATGCACACCTCAGCCAGGCTGCCTTCTGCTCAGCCTTGCTGGCCCCCAACTAAAGGAAAAGCTGACCACAGCCTGGGCAGAATCAGAGGCTCAGGTCACCGTGGAATCAAATGGGGACAACCAGAAAAAAGGGCTGGGAAATCATTGTCTTATTTTCCACACACTCCGAGACAAGCAGAGAGACCTCCCAGAACTGCACTGCAGTTTTCAGGAACTAAGGCAGCAGCAGTTCTTATTACAGCAGAAGGCAAAGAAGTAACCTTACTGTACAGCATCACTAATCTACACTCAATATTTAATTGCCTGAAAAGTCATCAAAAATTCCTAGCTATTTCTGGACTCCCTAAACACTCTTCTCCTAAACTTTAGGATTTCTCCCTAAAGAAAAATGCTCAGGAAGCGTAAGCACACAACTTCCAAAGTGAGTATCTTACAGTGTATCTTTGAATAGAGTGATAGACATGGTAAACTTCTGCCAAATGCTGGAAGTGATGGAACTTCTGTAACATTTCAGTCTTCTGTTGTTCATTCTCTGCGGGAGGCAAAGGCATTTGTTAAAACTCCAAGATGAGCCTATGAGACTCAGCTAGAACAAAACAGCACGTTAGGATTTTACTGCCAGCACCTCCAGAAGAGGTACCAGTTCAAGTGTTCCCATCTACCTGTGCAAATCACACATTATACAGACTTGCCATTTTTCTGAGCAAATTTACCATCATCTAAACTGGTGGTAAAACTCAAAACAGTTGAGGTTTTAACATGGATAGAGGCTATAGCTCATTTAAGGATAGAAGGTGGTACATGTGCATCACTAGAAACCTCATCCATAACTCCAGAGTTTAGGAATAAAATTAGCTTTGAAACATTTGTTTCATAAATACTAAATACACTACTAAGCATTGAGAAAAATCTGCATTTCTAAAATACCTGAGGGGTAACATATCAGCACTATCATGCATCAGCTGAACTAAAAAAATAACCAAAAGTACTTTTAGCACCAGGCAAAAAGCAGTATTATCAATCTGCATTCGTTACTACTAAATTACACCCATTAACTACTGGCTCCACCTCTCCCAGTGAAATACATTCAGAAGACAAGATGCTAGCTATCAGTTTTATCTCTGTTGGCAGAGATAATTTGTGAAGTACCTCTCCAACCTATGTTCAAATATTAGATGTATCTTACACTCCAAGATCATCTTTTATTTACCAGTACCTTAACCTTCCAATTGCTTCTCTAGTTAATATGTGCTGTGGGAAGGTACATGAGGATACATGGTCCCAGGGGCCACAATTTTGGCTCTAGTCTGTTTTCAAAGGGAGGTCTACACATGCTGATGCTGCTCCTTTGCTTATTTGTCTTAAATAAGCACATGGGAAAACCAGAGGGAGGACAAAAATAGCACAAGCCGGAGCTGCGTAGCATTAAAAAAACCCCAAAGAGAGCCACACCACAGAGAAGTGGTTACAGCAGTGCTCCCACAACTCAGTGACTGTTTGTCTACATGCACAAGGAGGTAAAAATACAAACTTCCTTTCAGTTACTTACCTTGGGCTATGTCTAAACACTGCATGGAAAGCATCCAGTAATAATAGGCTGCGTCATTAAAGCGGCTTTCAACCACAGCATTGTGTGTTAGCTGCTCCAGCACTCTCACAGCTTCTCTCTGCCTGCCAGCCTTGAGAAATGCTACAAAGAGGCCAAAACAAAGAGGATTTTACAGTGCGATTAGATCAATTAACTGAAATTAATGTTTTTAAATTAAGAGCAATCTATTCAGCCCATATCAAATAGCCTATCCAGGGCAGGATGAAAAGGATTATACACTGGTATTTTCCTCCCTGAAAGCAGCGACACTAATGGAACATGAAAAGCATCTGTCGGTATTTTGTGGCTTTTGCTCTGTCTCAGTGGCTCTGGAGTGCGTGGATTTTGTACAGCATTGGTTACTTTTTCTTAAATACAGAAAAGAACAAAGGTGCTATGATGATTAGATCTGTAAACAAGCAATGGCAATCTCCAAACACTGCAAATCACAACTTCATTCAAAACAACAATAAATTCACGATTTATGTTAGTGCTCTGGTTTGTAATGTTGAATATTTTGCAAGAGCACAGCACTTACTACATCTCCTACCATTTATTAAAAGCATTTCTTTATTTGGTACTCAGAGACCACTATAAAGTAATATCCCAAACTCTCACTTGGTAAATGTGCCTGTGTATACAGTCTTCACACAGGTTCATGGGGTCGGGGGCAAAGAGCCCCAAAAAACCCAACCCCACAGCACAACTGCCCCCAGGCTCAGCTAGCTCAGGTACAACCACATCCTCAGAGCTACCCAACCATCTCGAGCTCGCCAGCTCTGGGTGTGTGTTTGCTGAGTCACAGCAGCACAGAGCTCCATGGAACAAACTGGGAACCACACCCCTGTGTTCTGAGGGCCTGGGAACAACACACAGATATTCCCAGAGCTCCAGGCACAAACGACCAGACCGCCCCCTAAAGCAGGTGCTCCAGGGTGTGGTACTGAGGCACACAAGCTCGTTCTGTGTGGAGACAGACCAGGTCTGGCACACTCCCTGGCCTGGCCCTTGTCAGCCACCGAGGTGTGCCCTGGGCTCTAGGCTGGCTCTGGGAGCGGCAGGCGCTTCGCTCCCACGGAGCTGCCCCTGACAGCAGCTGCACCCAAACCCTGCTGGCTCCACACGGGGACTGCTTCAGCCTCTCCTCCTCCAACAACAGCTTATGCATTACATCTTGAAGCCTGTCCACATGATGGAAGGTTGACAGTTCTCTTTAAAGGTATAAAGGCTAGAAAACACATGAAAATGCTTTAAGAAACAGGAAAATTTTACTTATATTCAGATAACGTTGGGCTTGCACAAGGAGAAACCATGTTTTCCACTCAAGTTTGAAAGGTGGCCACCACCACATTCTGAATTCTATTGTGATAAAAATGTATTCTAATAAAGACAGTTCAGCTTATAGGCCAAATACTGTTGCCATGTGCCACACTCAGACATACAACAAGATAGAAAATCTGGAGCTGAATTTAGATGCCATCATTTCTGATAGATCCATCACATTCTTCTTATCAAGTAAGGAGACCTCCAGCTACTTTTATACCAGCATGAAAACATAGATTCTATTTGGTTTTGAATCCCACTGGTGAGAAAGTCTCCAGGGCAGAGGCTGCATAATCTGTACTGGAAGAGTATGGAGAAAATCTGGAGTGACCAGTGATCTGTCAGTGACATCCTTACCTTTCTGGGCTTCTTCAAACCTATCATTCTCTGCTAGCCACTGAGCATAAGGGACGTAGACATCATCTTTGAATTCAGGATGCTTTTCACTCAAAGCAAACGCCTGAGGTAAACAAAAATTCATTTTTAGAATATTGCATGGTTTAAACAGTAAAAGGGTTTAGAATATTCCAGGGGATCAATCCTTTAGCTCTAAGTAAATTCACAATAAAAATACATAAACAGAATAAAGAGGGTAATTCATGTTTTCTCCAGCATGAAACTAATTTATTTTAAAATAAAAAGCAATCAACAACAAAAGAAAAGAAGCTAAGCATAGCAACAGCCTGATTATTGACTCAGGAAAACCTGAAAGTGATTATCCAGGAAATTTAGTAGATTTCACAGCAAGAGACAAAAATATTTTTATTTTTAATGACTATATCTTCTAAAGAAATTGAAGTAACACTATAAATGCAATTTAGATCCACTTTCTAAACCCATTAACCAGTCAATAAAGGACCAAGTGTACAATTTTCCAAAGCACACATATAACTGGGGGAGGGCATCTGTCAATTCCAGCAGCACTTTGAAAACAGTTCCTTCAGAAATTGCACCTATCAAAAACTTCATGTGAAAAAACAATAAATAACAAAATTAATGGTGACCCCAGCTGTGAAGTGGGTGGTACTGGGAGACCCATGTTTGCATGGAAAAAACCAAACCAGTGAAGTCAGAACTCTGCCTAATCAGAAGCATAAATCCAGTCACAGAGTGGGGTCCACACTAAGGCAGCACCCGCTCATGAGATCTGAATTATGTGTGTGGTTATCTCACTTGGGTGCGTCCAAGTTATAAATAAGACAGTTCAAAACAGAATCTCCCATGGCATAATTGCTATCTGCTCTTTCTAATGGGCTAGAAGCTTCCCACGGACTACCATAGCCAGTGGGCAGCTACAACTCAACTCAGAAGAGAGACGAAGAAATATTCAGCCAGGAAATATTCAGCTCTGAATCACATCCCACAGAAGCCTCCCCCTCCACCTACTGCAGTGCTGGGGGAGCCAGATGTTTGTCTCCCTCTCCTGCAGCCAGCAGCAGCAAGAAGTGGTGGTTCCAAACACAGGAATCAAGAGCATGCTTACTTCCTCCCAGTGATGAGTCTCCACGTGGAGCTGGACCAACGCCTTCAGGTCACCGACCTTCATGTAGGTCTCTGCTGCATAGCCAGGGTTATCCAGCTTCTTAAAATAGAAGGCACATCTTGACAGAGGCTCACGCTCAGCTTTATCCAGTTTTCGAGCAATCTCAATTAACCTAGACCCAGCAAAAAGAAGCCACATGTTTCAGGTTCTGCCTTGTTGGTTTGCCTGTTGTTCAATCATTGTAATAACTTCACCTTTAATCAGTTAATATTTAATAATAGTAGCACCACACAACTCTGTCTAAACAGTTTTCAGTAAACATTCCACGTTATTCTTTTTTTGCTTTTACGAACTCAAGACCTGCTCCTGTCTTTACTCATAGGTGCAAATCTGCTTCTTGGGCTCTTTGCACAGTCACAGAGCTAGAGGGAGGAGGGGAGTCGGTCCTGCATGACTCTCTAACATGGGACACACTTCCTCACCACTGGCCTGTACAAAAGACTCCTGAATAAACATCAACTCCCTCGCCACAGGGCAGAGCCAAGGCAAGGGAAGGCCGAGTGACCTGCCCAAGGTCTGAGAGCAGCTCAGCACATGCCCCACAGTGTTGCCTACTGCAAACCAAGGAGAATTTGCCCAGTGAGCCCCAGAATTTCTACTGGGTCTTCCCTACCTTCTAGATGATTATCCTTAACAGCTTAAACGAGCAGAAAGAGACTATCACATACAATCACTGCTGCTATGACGACTCTGAGAAGCTCAAGACATGCATATTTTAGAAGACAGTGTCATACAACAGATGAACCCATCCATGCTCTTTACTGCTTAAGGCATTTGTTTTTGTAACATATTGATGTCCCTACCCTCTAAGCACATAAACTTTTTAAATGTTTTTTTTTGTTGTAGATGCACTTCAAATAATCAATTTGACAGAAACAAAGGAACATATCAAACCAGTTCTAGCTTACTTTAAACCTATGCAGAACTCATAATAACTCATTGGAGCTGTTACTACACATGATCTCTGAGATGGAACTGAAACCTACACATCCACCCAGCCATGGTCCCCACTGATGTCTATGGCCTTCATGTGCTCGCCTGCAGACAGGTACATCTCCACTGCTGCTTTGGGTTCATTGGTATTCTTGGCCCAATCTGCTTGTTTTTTTATTAGCATCTTTGTGTCTTTGGGGTCTCCAGATCCCAGAAAATCCTGAAAGAGTGTGATACAAAAGTTTGCATCACCTTCTGGTCACAAACACTGTTACAGCTGAAACTCTAAAATACAGAGGAGTTTCTTGTAATTAATATTGTTATGTTTCCTAAGACAAGAAACGCTGCATGCAGAGCAACGTGAACTGACCCAGCTTTTGGCAGCTCATCATCGAGGCCCAATGGATGGTGGGAAACAATGGCAAGTCTCCCATTTAGATAGTTTTCAATTATAAAAAAAAAAAAGGTGGGAGCTTCTGCGAGGGCCAGGAGAAGGACAGTACAGATACCTCAGAGGTAATAAATAGGTTTCCACTTGATTTCTTGCAAAGCGTGCTCTCTGTTGAGCCTGTTTAAGTGGATACAAATTCTGACTTCTGCATGCTTTTCAGACACATTCCAAACCAGAACAGTACTAGTCCCAAATCCAGTAACAGACCAAGTTTCAGATTTTCTTTTTTAAGCCAAGAAGGTACAGCTTCATTCTCAGAGATGAGCCAGCCCCACCCGTGCTTAGCTGCAGCAGTGCACCCACTCAGCCACAGGTGAGCAGCAGGCTGCCCAGCCACAGATGGGTTATGAGGGTGGAATGACAGCTGCTCAGAAGTGAGGGTGACTGAACTACCAACTGGACTTCTGGAAGGAATGCAAACACCAAGCCTGGCTGTGGGGATGACGACCGTTTTGGAAACATTTCTAATAGTTTGTTCAGCTCCTTCTGGCACCACTGGGGCCTTGGCACCGTATGGCTCACAGCTGTTGGCACCAGGAGGAAAAAAAATACTCCAGCACCAGAAGGTTGGCTGTGGACAATTTTGCCTGTTAACAGAACAGGCATTAAAAGAGCTTCTACAAGTGAAAAAATCAGAACAGAGGAGACATGGAAAGGTGAGAAGAGAGTGGAAAATTGCCCTCTGTGTTTCTGGTAAAGGTTTAAAAGAAAACAACAGGGGAAAAAAAAAAAAAAAACACACTAAAAGCACCCACACAAGAGATCTATTCCAATCCCCCAGCTCAGTGGTGCTCCAGTGCAGAGAGTCGACAGGTACAGAACTATTCCTCAGCTCTGTGTCAGCTCTTCAGCCAGCCCCACACAGGATTTTGCTCCAGCAACACCACCCTGACTCAAGTGAGTAACGACACAGACCTCAGATCATCTCTGAAAATGAGAAACTGAAGGGGAAGAACCAAGCTGAACAACATCTTTGACACAACTTCTTTTCCAGCTTAGATCACCAAAGTAAGACCAAAATCAAAAGCTCAGCTTCTTAAGAGTATAAAGAGGGTTTTGTGAGTCCTCAGGAACTGGTGATCTGGTACTGTGATAACAAGCCCATCACCAGATATCAAAGGACCTCCTGACATTGGCCTCCAGCCTGGACACCGCAGTCAGAGCTCATCAAAGTCCAGCACAAGCAGTCACACTCTGTGAGGGTCCCTTTGCATCATTCTGGCAGCATTAAGAAACAACCACCACCAACAACACAAAAACAGCTCCTACCTCCCATGTATCCTTCCTTGGAAAAATAACTAGGAAACAAGAGGCTTTCATATATTCTTCCATGTACTGTGCACTCCCTGCACAAGAAGCTTCCTTCACACACTACAAAGTACCTTTAATTTCCTCTGCAAGGAATTACTCTCAAGGACAGGAGCCAGAAGACCTTATGCTCTCTGCTAGTTAAATATAGACATAACTACAGCCAGGAATTAAAAGATTCTTATGAAGACTTATGGGAAAATTTTCATCTATGAATTACATTTATGTTCAAGAGCAGCCAAAACACTGCAGCTAACAGAGACTCATCAGCCAAAAATAGTGGAAGTCAGACTTACATCAGCAAAGCCCCAAAGTATTTATATTAAGCTTTTGGAAGAAAGAGATCTCTTTGTAGCACAGTTTGTGGAATCTGTGCTAAAACACTTCATATGCATGTCATGGTAAAGTCTTTGTCCTGTACTGGGCAGAATAAGGCTCTGATGAGTGATGAATGAGACTAAACAGTGCACACATTTGCTGGGATTTTGATAAGAAAACACCATAAAAGACTTAAAAGCCAAGTAATGCTTTGTTATCACCATATAAAAACATCACTTTTTAAAACCATATTCAATTTATTTTTGCATGGAAATAGAGCTCTCTCTCAAAAAAAAAGCCAAGACCTCTTGAATGCTTGGAAGAAAATGCTCTAGTAAACAACAATATACTAGGTTAGTATTTTACACACTTTATGAAACACTAATATTGAACTGAAATGGGTATATTAGTTCAAACTCTGAAAGAAAAATATTCTTATTGTAATACGGAAATGAATTAACCACATGGTGCACCCACCTCCACTTTGCATGTGCACTACCTTATCATCTTTGGGAGGCAAAGAAAAGGGACTGTTGAGCAAAATAATGCTGAAGAAACAAGTCATAAACCCAAAATGTTTAGTTTTTAAAAAAAGGAAAATTACTATAGATAATACTATATAATCACAATAAAAGAACCTCCTTTGGTTGTGTTCTGCAAAACGTTCCACGGAAAAGCCCTGAATTCCATGGACACATTTGGGGCTACACAAAACACAATCTGCTAGCTCTGAAGAAAAAGGCCACCATTACATCTAGGCACAGATGATGGCCATTTCTCCCCTCAGAAGCCAAACAAACTTCAGCCAATTAACTGCGAAAATAAGGTTGGAATTCAAAGCCTGCATTTCATCCAATCCTTTTGTAGGATCCTACTCTGAGGCCCGCTGCAGGTAGGTTAATAGCTCTGCACTAAAACACTGTCACAGGCCGTTACCTTCGCGTGGTCGAACATCCGTAAGTCGGAGTACATCTCAACAGCCAGGTTCTCATGGCCACTCCTTTTGTACAACTTTGCTGCCTCGTGGAATTTTCCCTGGTAGGCATAAACATCTGCTAGGAACAGGTCGTTGTTGTTCTCCCCACGCTTCTTCCGCTCCTGGAAAAAAAACAAAACCAAAACCAGACAGGCAAACAAACGCAAAGAGATGTAGAAACCATTCTAGGTGATCGGCACCTAGGTGAGAAGAGCCATTAAGAATTAGCTTTTCGGGCTTAGATTTTAAGTGTTAGTAAAACCTGTAACAGGATATCATAATTATGCCTCTCCTACATTTCTGGTGAATTTATAATTAAAGGATTAAATCCCTTCTTAATTAAAATTAGGACAAGTAAAATGAAATGTCACTATACAAACCAAAGGGATGAAAAATCATTTCTCTTGATTTCACTCAGGACAATGAACACATGGTACCGTTATGCTATGCTATTAAAAAAAAGGCACTGGATGGGCTCCTTATTCTCTCCAGCAGAGACTCACCAGCATGTCCTGTGGCCGTGGGTGGGCTGGCCAGCAGGGAGGTCACTGCCAGCCCTGAGCAGGCTCAAGGCGCTCGCCAGCCGGCCTCCGAGCACAGCCCAGAGCCTGCTCCCCCCTGTGTCCTGGGGACACCTCAGACCCTGCTCTGCACAAAACCAGTGCCACCAGCAGCCCGCCCCGCAGGGGAATACACCCGTGAGATTTAATTTGAAGACAACTGTGTGAAAGGGGAAAAGTGTTCCAGGAGCCCCCAGGTCCAGGTCCCTCCTGCCAAAGGAGGCTCCTTCCAGCCACGCCCACGGACCAGGCTGGGTCTGGACTGGTGCTGAAAGCTCCCTTTAAATACTCAGTTAAAAGAATAATCAGAGGAATTGTTACACCATTTTTTAAAGACCTCACAGAATCTTTCCAGATACGGAGATCTGGCAATTATGCTTCCTGCTGTCATCAATTAGAAAAAAAATGTGTAGTGACTGAGAGAAAACCCTCATATTAATGGCACATGTGAGCTCAGTTACACCCTTACAAGCTTTACAAGGAATCTGATACACCACAAGCAACAGTCAGCAGTGATGGAGAACCCTCACTTCTGGAGGAGCATTGTCAAGAAGTCTGAAAGTAAGCTTATGCCTATTTACAAAGGGAATCTTTCTCACTAAACAGAATGTAACATGACAATTCCAGAATATCCTCAACGGATGTAATCTGGGGAAGCACATGTGGAAAAGAAAGATCAGCAGGGATGTGGTGAGAGTGTTCTCATCTATCTACCTACCTATTCAAGGGAAATAAAAAACCCTAACAAATGTGAACAAAAGGGGTTCCTAACACAGAACTCTGTCCCACACTGGACACTGAGAAAAGCTGCTGGCGTTTTGAGAGAATCAAGACAGCTCTGCAGAAATGGAAGGCAAGGAATGTGTTCTTCCAGAGAAGGTGTAAATCTAATTGGCATGAGAAAGAGGAATCTGTTCTCACTGCAGATGTTTAAACAGAGCACTATCGTGCACTCTTTGTAGACAGACAAGGGTGATACCATGTCTTTTCATGTGCTCATCACACACCCTTATTGTCTGGTGAAATTCTATCAAGAAGCATAAAAAGAGTAAGAACTAGTGATTAGAGCACAGTATCCAAGTAAGGAATCCCAAATTCTATTTCCAGTTGTCATACACTTGTCATGAGACCTTGAGTTTGTCATTTTATTTCTCTGGGCCTGTTTCTGGCTCTGCAAAGAGGAGATAATAGTAATTACCTACCTCCAGGGGGTAAGGGAAGGCTTAATTAACTCATCTTTATGAAGTATTCTGTACTAAGCTCTGTTAGCACAGCAGTATTCTACCAATTATTAATTGAATATTGAAAGTTTTTCCAGTTTTCCTGGAGACAGTTTCAGAGTTCTTATTTTTCCATATCCCCCCCACTTCTTGTTCTGTGAAGTTTCAGTCGTATGACTAGAATTTGAGTCACCTTCATTCATCAGGAGTTTTCACTCTAAACACATCTCCAGCAGTCAGAACCACTATCAAAACAAGTCCCTCCAATAACAGAAAGCACTGCTTTTGGCATTGGACCAAGTATAAGAAAATACACTGTCTTTAATATTCTTCTTACCTCTATGCTGCTGATCAATTCTAAATATCGAAGGTCTCGTACCCTGGTAAATGCCTATTGAAGAGAAAATACAAAAACCAAAAGGAATTGAAAGGCAGGAAAAGTGAACACTGTTATGCCCAAATGAAGCTGTCTTCATGCAAACAGGACAGAGGGAAATGTGCTGGGGCAGTCCCTAACCTGACAGGCTCTGGCTACAGCTGTAGCCCCTGGGGCATTGCAGTAAATAGGAGAAGGGCACAATCCAAACAGCTCGCTGCTGAAAAGCAACAGCAAAGGCAGGGACTAGAAGGTGTACGTGTGTCAGCCCCTGAGAAATACAAAGCACCATATAAAATATCCCATACTTTTATCCTGGCTGTTTTATAGCTTTTCCATCTCACTGTGAGGCATGACACAGACAGGGAAAGTTAAGGAAACTGTTACAAGGTAGGACATGTAACTGATGATTCTGCCACAGCATACTTCTAGACCATTCTGAAAATCCAGAATGGAAGCAGCTCAGGGAGAGGAAAGGAAGCGAGACGCCAGTAAGATAAAAGTACTGCAAGCCAGTGTAATATCCTCTGCCAATGGAGATAAATGTGCAACCCAAAGTCTCAAGTGGCAAAGTCACATGTGAGCTACAGCAGCTGAGCACGTACTCTTGACATGCATCAAAAGATAGAAATTTAACTCTTTACACCACACACTAACCAAACTAGTGCTTAAGAGGGCACAGAATATTCTGCTTACACCAGATCGGACTAGGAACTACGAGAGCCTTTAATGTCAAGAAGCTGCTTTTGTTCAAATTAATCCGCTCTAATTCTAAGAGGGCACTACTTTAAAATTCCAAGGAGGCACTGAAAACTTCTTTTTAAGAATATCTATTTGCATAAAGCCATCCATGAAACTGGTATTATTCTGATGCTTCTTCCTTTTTTTTTCTGAAGTAGAGGCATTTAATTTCTTTAAAAAAAAAAAATCTCTTATTAAAAGATGCCTATCATTAGAGGCCATTCCTGCATATTTTTAGACTGTTTTGTCCCTCATACAATACTCATGACATTGAACTCAGTTCGCTCTCTTCTTTGAGAGGAGGTGGTGAAAGAAAACAGGGAAGTGCTTTATGCTGACGAAAACTCTGTCCTTCAGTACATGTCCATTTACAGACCACTCCCAAAACATGGCATTCCAGACAGAAAGCCATTACAGTGATGACATCCCACCACTGCCTTCAAAGAACACTAATGTGTAGACAACAAAGAATATGAAACCTCCACATGGAACTGAGGTCATATTAAATATTTAGGGGGAAAACCAGGGAAGTTTACAGCACTGAGGCAGGGACACCAGGCAGCTGGGACATTCTTTGCTGCCACCCCGTGGTCAGCACCACCCAACAACCTTCTAGCTCCATTTCCCCCAAATTATTGCATTTAACAGCAGATGAAAGAAACCATTTTCTCTCCATTTAACACTGATTTAAAATACGGCATTTATCTAGAGGTACATTAGATTTCTGTTCAAAAAACTCATCTCAAGAACCTTAGTACAAAACAAACCCACATTTTCTTTGCTATGTGGAATAACATAACCCAGGAACACCACTTTGTGTTCCAGACAAAAACCATACATCACACACACACACTACATACATATATATCTCTAAAATATAAACCAAGCTTTCTGCTAAATAAGTAAATAACTGATTTACCTTTTTAGCAGTTTCAAACTCCAGCCCTTCTAAGGCTTCCATGGCCAGTTCTTTCCAGTCAGTATCAGTCACTCCTAAACATGCAATTTGATAGGCTTCTTTAAACATTTTTCGTTCCAGATATTGATACATGGGTGCAGACTGAGGATTTCCAGCAAAAAACATGTATTAGGAAGCATAATGCTGAGACATATTAGTGAAATTCTCTACATACATTGGGGTAAAAAACCAAGATTCTCATCACAACCGTTACAAGCTCTGCAGGCAGTAAGCACGTGGGGGTTTGTCTAACAGAACAACACTCTGGGTGATCATTCTTGTGTCTTTAGACAAGCTGGGTTCATTACACCCCAAACTCATCCATCTTGAAATCTTCAGTTCCTAGCATATTAGGACTGTTAAGAATGTGAATTCTACTGAGCATTGTGCAATGGATGACAAACCACTGAGGGGTTTTGTTTTTTTTAAATCCTAAGGAAGCAAAGGAGGGGGCAGTTTGCTCTCAAAGGCTAGAGGCATGGAAAGTGGCACCCCTGGAGATATTCTGACACAACAGGAGGAGGGGCCATGAGGAAGTAACTCCTCTGTGCCAACCCAGAGCACACAAGAATGCAGCTATTAAGCCCAAATGACACTGACCTCAAAGACCAGCCCTAAAAGGGAATTAAAGAGAAACTGCCAACTGCAGGCTGACAGAGACGAATGGAGGCTCAGGGGCTGCAGCTACAGCTCAAAGCCTTTGAGCTAACAGGGAGAACTGCAACTAAATTACCTGGAACTCCAGTTTTGCAACCAAAGACAGTATGTAGATACATTTCCATGTTATTTTTAACAATTTATCTGAAAATTGTACACTTTTTGGTATGCCCTCCAAGAGCGTGGCTTTGGAAAAGCTGCCTCTGAGACACGTCACCATGATTTTGTGGCATACTGGTACCTACAGCATTGCCAAGGCAGATGGAGTGTGCCAGGCCTGGTCAATCTCACAGCTGCAGCACCCTGGAAGCACAGAGCCTGATGGTGGCTCTGCACAGAGCCTGTGAGGTGCTGGGTGAGGCCTGCAGCACGGGCACCCGCTGCACAGGGCACTCTGGCCTTCTTCACTGACCCTCAGCTTCAACCCCTGCCCACAACTGCCTCTGTGAGTCAGAATGGTGGGGTCTCTTCTTATTTATTTTTTATTTCTTCAACTATTTTAGACTCTTTCATTGCTTCCCATAACACAGAAAATAGAATTTTGTAGAAGGCAATCTCTAAATTTAGGTTCTGAAGACCACATATGTACTATACATTCAGACTAAAATGCACAGCTTAAATATTGCCTAAACACATCTAGATGAAGCAACAGCAAGACAGGATTTGATGTACTCATAAGGCAAATGAAATGACAACTTGAGAAAAAATACACAGAGACACTACTGTGAAACTACAGGAAGAGGTAACACCTGCACTATGTCTTCGTCTCTGCTTTTAGATTATGTGCATTTGCAACCAGAAAGAGAGAATCAGAAATAACAATCAACAGTGGCAAAAATGACGTTGGCTTAATTAATGTCAAATAGACAAAAATAAAGTGTACTGTGCAGTATAACTTAATGATAAAGAAACTGTGAGCGGCAACAATTTTGGTAATGGGATATGAGTAAATCTCAGAAAAGCTTCTTCACTTCCTACACATTGATGTTTATGGAATGTAAAGCAACACTTAATGAGATTAAAGGATTACCTGTGGAACTTCAACAGCTGACATAGAAAAAACATGAAGACAGAAGATCTTGGAGCCGTTGTAACCCACAACAAAGCCTTGAAGTTTTTGCTGATGGACAGGGAAGTCACTAGCTTTGATATTGAGGTAACCTCCTCCAGAAAAGCAGAGCATATCCTCACACTGTGTATTCCAAGCCACGCTATTAGCATTGGGTTCCTAAAGAGCAAAGTAAGTGGTGACTGCAACAGATGCAATCACATTTGCCTAAGACATGTGGCTCCTTCAGCTAGCACATCTGACCTACCAGAGCCCGAGCATGTGCACACACACACTTGGTATTTACATCTGTAATTTTTTTTAAGCCTAGTATATTCTCAAATGTATTTCCAGGGGCATATTTTACATTTTAATTAAAAAACTGTAATTGTCTTTGGTTTGTTTTTATTAATGATCTGTACTATCAAGCCATAGAACATATACACAGTTTCACAATGTTGCACTGTTAGCTGGCATATTGAATGGATCACTTTTCTGCCCATTACAAAAAGCAAGCTACAGCCCCTGTCTTTCTAGCACTTCATGCTTTCTACCCAGTGTTCTCTGAAAATGTTTCAACATTAATGAGTGCACCCTTACAGAGACTGCAAAACTGCCAGTGAAGGCAGAATTAACGTTATTCATTTTATAGTCTGGGAATACAGGATGAACAAAGAAGTTCAGGCTTTAATTCTGTTGGTACTAACGATAAAGCCAAAACACTCATTAACTGTAATGCTTCAAAGGGAACCAGGACAGAGCTCTAAATTAAACTGAAAAGGTCACATGTTTAAGGGCTCTTTATTCAGCTGTTGCTCGCATATCTCCTGTCTTCTAATTCCTTCTCTACCATCTCTAGAAGGGTAGCTCAGATAGAGAACCAGATCACGGCTAAACCCTACGACACGTGGTGGAAATCTTAAACGACAGCTGTATGAATTTCTGCCCAGCAACACTTCTGGTACGTTCTGTGTTCCAAACCCCCTCCTGCACCCCACTCTTCAGGAGAAAGGCCCAAGCCTGAGCGTGGTACCGTGAAGAGCAGCTCTCTGGTCTGCAGGTCGTACACCAGGCAGGTGTCGTTCTCGTCCACCACGGCCAGCTTGGCGCGCGAGGCGCTCATGTCCAGGCAGCGCACGGCCGTGGGCTGCTGCAGCAGCACCATGGCCAAGGCGTTGTCCACAAAGATCTTCAGGATCTGCACGGGTTGGAAGCCAAACTCAGCCCAGCCATCTCTCTTGCACAGCAGGGGTTAAACTTTCGTGCTGCTTAAAGCATGGGATTGCAGGTTTTTTTCAGAGATAAACTGTGCATTCAAATTAAGTAAGTGCTTTCTCTTTGAGGTATCTTGGATGGTTTAGTTTCCCCAACATACTGCAGGCTTCACTAATTAAACGATTACATTAATATAATACTACAGGAACATACAGCATAGTTACAGAAGACAAAAAGGATCTCAACTTCTCTGTACCTGTTCTCTGTGTCAATACCCCTCTTTGATATTTCTCTCTATCAAAACCTCCAGTTTGACACTTTCAGCTACGAACTGGCTTGTGAAACAGCCACTCCACCTCTGGAAGTGCCACACCTTCACAAGCCATCATCAGGAGAAGTGAACACACACACATCCCAACCCCCACTAAAGACAAATGCTCCCTCAGTTCACCAAGAACTCCATTTTTGTCAGTTGTTCAGAAAAATTTATGGACTTCAGACAAAGCTAAACATGTCTGTATTAATTTTACAGGCAGAGCATGTGAAAGATAGAAGTAATTAGTTTTCAACCACAATAACATCTCCATCAAATACAATTCTATGTCGTAATGAGCACGCTGCTCCTAAGGTCTCCCTCTAAGAGCACAGAACAGATTTTCTTTGCAGTGAAAAGACACAGACCAGACATCATGCATTACCTGACCATTCTTTAGACCAACTAAGAGGCCTTCTCTTCCCGGAGGTCCTCCAATTACTTTAATGTAACGAATAAGAGATTCCATCAGCCATTCTCGTTCTTTAATGCCACTAAATGAGAGGCACTGCAATCTTTTCTCCTAAAGACACAATGACACACTAAATACTGCACAGAGGTGAAGGTAAAACCCTGCAGCTTTGATGTGCTACGTCTGCACCCATGCTGGCACGTGTGCCTACTTTTACACACCAATATTGTAACGTCAAATACTCAATTCAACAGGCTGATTTCTTTAACTTGGTTTTCCAATGCTATGAACAAAACCAAACAAAACCCCACCCTTCTCTCATAACTAATCCCCTCCCCAAAACTCCCCTGAACCATGAGCTAATTTACCCAATTCCCTGCAGAGGCTGATTTAGTGACACAGAGCCACAGCTATCGCTCAGAAGTGCATCAGCTGCACGTTGGTGCCTTGGGGAAAAGCTCTAACACATAATACAGCACAATCTTTTCCTAGCAGCTCTTTGGGCAGCTATTTTAAAGTCTGCATGCACCCCAAGACCACTCTGGATTTTCAGGCACATACCTGGCATAAAATAATGTGATTGGAGCAGACAACCAGCAAGTTGCACTCGAATTTTTTCACTATCTTCTCCTTCACCCGGTAATACATATCTGAAGAATCATCCGAGTACAACTCGTAGATCAAGATTTTCTCTGGCATCTGGATTGCTAATCTGTTTTTGTAGATTGCAATTTTCTTTACAAGCTCTCTGCCTTTTATTCTAACTAGAAAGAAAAAAAAAGAAAAAAAAACAGTACAGACTGAGACAAGAATAATGGATACGGAAATCAGAAAACTGACTCACACATTAAAGTTGAATCTTTCTAAAGCACTTCTAACATTTTAAGCAGACTCCTACTCAGATGTTTGTTGATCTCCACCTATGTAATCTACCATTCCAGTCACGATTTATCACCCTCTGTTATTTGTCAACAGCACATTCTAGAGTGATACTTTGATTCCTTGCCATAAAAAGCCAGTAGATATGAAGAAATAAAATCAGCACAAACCCTTGAGGCTGCGAGTAAGACAAAGAAAAAAAGCTAAATATGATGTACAGTATTTTTATCTCACTCGCAGAGATTAAAACCTTATCTTAAAAGCTTCTGCCTCTCCCAATGTCCTTTCAAATCCTCACATCTTTCACTAAGCTTGTCAGCGCTGATCCTCCAGAATCCAAGTCTGCACTCTCATCCTGCAAACAGTATTCCTCAGTTTCACTGGCACAGTGACAACAACCTGTCTGGTACAGGCAGCATATATTCCGAGTGTTCTGATGGATATTAATTAAAAACACAAAATAAAACAGAGTGAGAGTGAAGCTTTGGCCTGACAGTGAGTGTGACATTACCTTTCTGCTCCGTGATGAGGTGCTGGACAATAACATCAGTCATGCTGTCTCTGTAAGCGTAGCGATCTTTATAAAGGCCATGAACAGTGCTGAAAATCAGCTGGTAAAAGGATATTGTTCCATCCTGGCATCCTACTGCCTAAACCCGAAGAGAACCACTTCAGTTAATTGCTACATGTAGGTGAGAATTGGCAAAATGTGTAGTAATTACACGATGATTATGTTCCTTTTCCTGCATAACGTACAGACTGACACCCGTCACAGCCCACTGGGACTTACACGGCGACAGGAGCGCAAGGCAAAAGGAGGAGGGATCTCCTCACTGACCATGGACACCCCCACGGTGGGGGGGTGGGGTCTGGGGAGGTCTGATTTGCTGGCGGTTTCATGGTTTTTTGGGGGGGTGTGTGTTTGGTTTTGAACCCACTCTGTATCTCTTCACCTTTCTACAGTGATGCAGAGTGCAGCGTTTGTGGCTAACAGTTGTCTTGCAGCCATTTTCTGCAAGGTGTAACACTAAAATCTCAAGTGGATCTGAACATTTTCTTTCCAAAATGGAATAAGATCAGGTCAACCCAGTTATTAGCTGCCATTTTTTCCTGTTTTCACTCCTCTTTTTTGATCAAAATGCAGCAGATGTTCTACCATCTAAGAACAGATGTTATGCTCATTTACAGCCCTCTTACAGCTGAAGTTTTACTTCTGCAGGATGATTTTAGTTCATGGGATAGTTCTAGGACCTTCACTGGCCTCTGCTTAGGTTCTGCTGCCTCAGCAAGACATGTCTAGACTAAGCAACCCTGTCTGAAATTTATGGTCTTACCTTAGATGACAAATTGTCTGTGAAAATGCCAGAGGAATGCTCCTACTCACCACGTAGTTGGAGTCTGGTTTAACTCTGCATGCCCACACCCAGCTGCTCTGCTCTCCTATGGTGCCAAGGCGCACGCCATCCTTCGTGAAGAGGGAAACTTGTTTGTCTGAACCTCCCAGTAAAATATACTCTCCTTTGGTGAAATAACTAACACAGCAAGGATCAAAATTGAGTGTTCTGTCCTTCCCAACCTACAAGGGAAAATAAAATTTTAAAAAATATATTAAAAATTAACAAAAGGATCATTTCATGTTTTCCCTGAGGCAATAAGTACCATCACTGATACCATTCCTCTCATCTCTTTGGCCATGCACAAATTTTCAATAGCCCAGAACCACTGGCTGTATTAAGGTTCTCAAAGGCAGTTCTAAAATACATCCAAGAATCCCTCCAGTCCCAAAACAGTCTACTCAGAATGCAAGCAACCCACAAAACTCCCTTTAACGTGCTGAAAAAAGTGCAAATGTGCCCTCTACAGAGCAGTAAACCACAGCACAAAACCCAGCACAGTTATAAGGCTTTTAATACAAGAATTGTGAGAGTGGCTGAATTGCCATGGGAGAAACAAGAGCTGAAGAAAAAGATGGCTAAGAAATGCAGACACCTAGAAAGCTGGGAAAATAGAAAACGGTTGATGTCACTAATAAAGCACTAGCATAGCAACAGTCTGAACACAGGACAGAAACCAGAATCCAAAACACACAGCCACTCTCCAAGGCACTTTCTAGAACATACCTGTTTGCCACTAAGCTGGTAAAAGGAAAGTTTCTGACCCCAGTCTGCCACAGCTAAAATATCATTGCGCTCATCTCTAATAAAAAAAAAAAAAAGTAGCAATTCTACAGTGATTTATTAATAAATTTCTTAAAGCAATAGAATAATGTAATAGCAGAGCAGAACTTACTTTGTTATTCTCTTTTAAAAACCACAAACTGAAAGGACAGCAGATACATCTTGTCATTTAAAACTGAGAGGACAGCTTGGAGACAGTAAAGAAAAGTCAGTCTCCTTCACAGGACTCACTGCAAAGCTTGAGCATCACTTCACACATGGCCACAGAGGCAGAGGAGGTAATGGCACCTCCACTGCTGGAGCACCAGGGCCTGGATTCTGGTCTTACCTACAGAACTACAAAGCCATCATAACATCCCAGTCAACACAGCTGAACAAGAGTGAACTGCAATGATCAGTGTAAGGCAGGGGGGAAGAAAAATAAACTAAATTGCTCTTGTGTGGCCAGTGACAGACTCAAGAAAGGCTTCAAGTCTCATATGTATTAACTGTGGTACTCTGACATGGTCTGTTCAGCTTGGAGCAAAGCACAAAAGCCACCTTCTCCACAGCTTCTTGCCTAGGAAGAAGGGAGATCCTTCTATGAACATTCTGCTACAAACAATGTCTCTAGGCATAAACTGAGCAAAAAAAGGAAATGGACCAAAAACCTAATGAAAATCTGACTGTTTAACATGGGCCCTCTCCTTGCTCAGTGCACAATGCTGGCTCCTGTGGGCAAAAGCAACATCTTAACACACACTTCAGAACTATCTCATAAGGAACACACACTAACAGAATAAATTAAGACCACACATACAACTATTAATTTAGAATTTCCTAATTTTTGAATATGTGATTATACACCCTACATAACATGCTTGGTCCTTTTTGTCAATTACTGTTCTAGGTAATACAGGTATTTATGTTCCTTTGAAGTTTCACTCACAATCTGAAGAGAACTCTCTGGATTTCTTCATGGTCTTCTCCCTGTCTGCCTACCACCAGGCCTCAGCACTGCTGGCTCTCCTAAAGAGCAGTGAAGCAACTCTTCTTGTTCATCTGCTCTATTCCAAAAATTCTTCCACCTACTGCAATAGCAATTTTTTATCCACATATTTGGGACAATATTCCCTCTGAATTTGAGGTGAAAAAACAGTTCCCCTCTCTCTCCCCCAGTCCAAACAGAACTTCCTCCCCAAAAAGACCAAAACCAAAACCAATAAAAAAGACACACACACAAAAAAAATAAATTAAAAATAAATAAATAAATCTTCTTTTAGATCTGTTGAGGCTGCCCCTCAAATCCTGGGGTCAGTTTTGGGCCCCTCACTCCAAGGACCGTGAGGGGCTGGAGTGTGGCCAGAGAAGGGCAACGAAGCTGCTGGGGAAGGGTCTAGAGCCCAAGTGTGGGGAGGAGCAGCTGAGGGAGCTGGGGGTGCTGAGCCTGGAGCAAAGGAGGCTCAGGGGAGACCTTCTGGCTCTGCACAGCTCCTGACAGGAGCCTGGAGCTGGGGGGGGGTCGGGCTCTGCTCCCAAGGGACAAGGGACAGGACAAGAGGAAACAGCCTCAAGTTGCCCCAGGGGAGGTTTAGCTTGGATCTGAGGAACAATTTCTTGCCCTGGAGGGTTGTCCAGGGCTGTGCCAGGCTGCCCAGGGCAGTGGTGGAGTCCCCACCCCTGGAGGGGTTTCCAAGCCGTGGATGGTTGGTCTGGATGATCTTAAAGGTCTCTTCCAACCAAGATGATTCTGTGATTCTAGGTGGAACTTGTTACCAGTTTCTCCATTTAATTAAAGGCTGGCAGCAAAGCCAAAACCCCAATACCTAATCTCTTAAAAAAAGGTAACACACATGGCATTAATCTGTTTCAGGAGGGATAAAAGTCACACCGTTCTGCAATCAATAAGCCAAGGATTATCTATTCAGCATGTAAAAAATGGAGGACAAGATGATTTACCTGGATGGATTCCAACAAATTGACCATATTGGAGATGAAGCACCCCCTGGACGCTCGATTTTAACCTTCTCATCACCATTTTTATTCCTTATGCTGACAATGCCATTGAACATCCCCAGAGCGAGGTACTGGCCGTCGTTTGTCCAGCTGATAAAACACACAGATACTGAAGAGCAAACTACTAAAAACAAGCAGCAGGAGGGTAGGATGCTGCAGCAAACTCAAATACAGATGATAGATTGAAATATACATCTAAGAGGGAGTTCTGGGAGGTAGCCAGTAATTTTACAGTTTGTTTATGCACCTAAATCCACATTTATGGCAACAGCATGCACTACAGCAAGAATATTTTATAATATACATAGAAATAAAAAAAATACAGAAATTTAAAAAATAAAAATGAAGCTATCATCTGCTTGCAATACTTCTAACATGTGCTAAGTGACAGATACATTTTGGGGATGACAGTGCTGGCAGTAGACCAGACTGTTTCAAAAGCCATATTTAGAACACTGATCAGATAAAACTGATTGGTGCAGGACAGAAGAGATCTGGTTTCTTTTCTTGTCTCTCCTGTAGTTAGATGGATGATTTTACACAAATTAATGTACCCTGTCTTCAGGCTTCCTATTGTGGTACTATCTGCTACTGAAAATACCAACCACACAGGAGAACAGCTCTACCAACAAAAAAAATAATTATTTTAGATCTAACTTCATTTTACTGGTATTGCATAAGATGGCTGAACAGAGGGAGAGAGAAGACACTTGCTCAAGTCCAGAACACCCCTCTGATACTTCAAGAATTTAGTTATAAGCAGTACCAAATAAAAAGCAAACCCCTTTGCTATTAAAAGCAGCAAAGGGGGGAGGAGGAAGCTCTCTCTGAGACAACTACAAGAGAAAGAACAAATCCTCTTTGATAAATACTGGGCACATTCCTAGTGGAGCATTATCAGTGCTACTGGGGTGTTTTAGCGCTGAGAACAGCAGAGCAGCACAAAGAACCACACCACTGGACAGGAGGCAGAGGAGCCCCTCTCATGCTGCTGTCTGCTCCTCTGTGTGCCATCAGCTACTGCAGGACAACTTCTTCTCTTCGAGCTTGTGTATTATTTTGAATGGTTTGTATTGAAACTAATTTAAATGACACAGACAATCCTTCAAACTTACCTGCAGCACGTAATCTTACTGCTAGTTTTATTTTTAGAGACTGACTTCTGTTCAGGAGACCACAAGCCTTGATGAAAGCAAACACAAAACCAAAGTAAATTACAAGTGAGAGTTCACCAGTGCTCAGATTAGATCCTAACACTGTCAGAAAACTCAGCTGGGACTTCAGAGGGATCAAAGTCTCATCCACTGCTGGAAGGACATTTAAATACGTGCTCTCTATCAGTAAATGGGGTGGGAAAAAATCCATCTAAATAATACAGAGGGTGTCTCTACAGGAAAAAAAAGCATGGTAACAAAGCAGTACATTTTATCCCTACATACTCCTTTCCAATTGAGTTCAAGTGATTTAAATAAGTATCTGGTATTACCCAGCTTTATGGAGCTTTGTATCTCACCTCTTCTGGACATAAGGAGTTGTACCTGTCTGTGGTTAGCTTAGCCACACAACTTTAACAGAACCCACTGGCTTAAGGGAGACGCCAGAGGAAGACCTACCGAAATCACTGGAGGAGCAGGAGGCCAGCTGGTGGGTGAGGGGGTTGTAGGACACACACTGGATGGCATCATTGTGCCTAGAACCAAGTCACAGCCACACGTCAGTGAGCCACTCTCACACGCCCCCTCTTCTGACTGCCAGCAAGATAGCTGCAAGGCTTACCTGATACCAGAAATAATTTGATCTGTTTATATTACAGCAATCTGCAATTACTGTAAACTAAATCAGTAATAAACCTTAGAAAAAATGGTCTCCAAGTGGCAAGATTCTGTAGATTTCATGGAGATGAGCTAAAAAAGTACATAAATTGTAGTTTGTGAAATACGATGGAAGGTTATATCCAAATTCTAAAACAAATATCTCTGTGTATGGTACCAAACCTTGTCTTTATTCTGTTTCATTTTGTTTCAATCTATGCAGACTTTCCCCAGTTCTCTGCCAGCCCTCTAAATTCAGAAATTTTTCTGGACTTCCCCCCTTCTTTTATGCCTTTAATTGCTTTCCTGCCTCATTCAGATACTTCGACTATTCTTTTCCTCTTCCCTCTGCTATTACCCCCTGGCATTTTCTCTAACCTCAGCCTTCCAAATCGAATGTCACAGGCTCTTTAGCAGCAGAAGTGCACAATCAAAGCTGCTTTCGAGAGGGGTGGAACCGAAAGGCATCACTCACGTGTACTTCAGAATTCCTTCTAACTTTGAAGTCCAAATTATCACACTTTTATCAGCTGAGCCAGACGCAAAACGTTTGCCTAGGAATTAAACATAATTTTAATCCCCCACATAGAAGAATCCCTTTCACGTCAAATACTCAATCAAAGGGAGAGCAAGAAGTTCTTGAACTTGACAAGGCTGAAGCAATAACGGGCCTAAGGCTGCAGTGCAGCCCTGCTCCTGCAGGCAGCAGAGCTCTGAGCGCTGGCTCTGCCGCTGGCCGAGCACGCCCCGCTGCAGCCCAGCAGCCCCAGCGCCTCCAGAGCTGTCAGCCTCGGCTGGAGGCTCAGCTTAACTGTGTCATGTTCTCACAGGCATCCCCTGCAACTTAAACAGGACTTCAGAGGAAGGCCTCTGAGTCTGCACACAGCAAGTCCCCACGGAGTGAGAATCGCTGACAATGAATGAGCCGGACGCAGAGTAAGGTCTGCAGTGAGCAGGGTAATGTGTGAAGGATCAAAGATCAGGAAGCTTTGGGATAAAGGAACTAAAGGAACAAAAATCAGAGGCAGGTGGAGCGCTGGAGAGGGATCTCTGGGGTACACCTTCTCCCCACGTCACCCACAAACATCAGCTCAGCCACAGCTGAAGCAGAAGGGGGGCCTGGTTCTCGACCTTACACGTAAAACCACGTCACTCCTGCACCCAGCACTCGTACAGCAGCCCAGGCTCCCCATGGAAACCCAAACAACACCACGCTCACACCCCCCCAAAGCACTGCAGGGGAACCAGCCCCGACCTCTGTCTGTCAGATGGCAAAAAGAAGTGGCAGGTGGGCACCCCAGGACCCCCAGCTGGTATTTACCATCTCTGGCATAGGCCACGCAGTACACGGTGTCCTTATGTCCCTTCAAGGGCTGAATTAAGGTTCCATCTGAAGTATCATACACCTATTTACAACAAAACATAAACATATAAACAAAAAACCATACGCTAGAAAATCTTGCAGTGAGGACTGGTATGTAAAATTACCAAAGGCCAGCAAGACCATACACTTTCTTCTCTGTTTGCTTCTCTGCACAGCGAAGGACTCGCAGGCCTTGTAAGGCAAAGGCTTCAAAGTGCAGCAGCTTTCCTGAATGGAATACTGCCATTACACAATGAAAGACCCAGTGTTAGAAAATGACACACACAAAATTAACTTCCAAACGGGTCATTTTGTCAGCTTGTTGTTTTCCTTCATTTCCCTCATCAGATGTTTAAACAAAATAAATTACTGGAAAGGATCATCACTAAACATACCATTGCACAAGCACTGAAAATAATAAAGCCTGCTGCCCTGTACTACACTGCTGTCATCCATCCATCCATCCATCCATCCATCCATCCATCTCTCCCTCCCTGCAGCTTCTACTCCTGCCCCCTCTGAGTGCTCTGCAGGAGCCATGAGGAGCTGGTCCTGAGCTGCTCTTGCTGAGGGGCTGCAGCAGGCAAACAGACCCAGGGAACCACAAAAAAATACCTAAAGCTCTTGCAAAGCAGGGATGTCCACTTCAGTTTCTTTCCCCTTTTCACAGAGATTTGCATTAAACTTGCAACAAACAAGTATTTGTACACCTTGCCAAGGCTGGATGCAGGTTAATGGATTTCAAACCACTGGGTGAGGTGTGAGAGGATGAGATGGCAGAGGTAAATTAAACCTCAATACTCTTGGAAATAGAGCTTAAAATTTGGTAAGAAACATTGAAAAGCTTCGAAACACTTTGCAGTTAGCACGTATTAAATATGTAGATAGGAGGCTGGGCTAGGAGAGATAAGAGGATTTTTGATAGATTATACCCATAAGTTAATGTGAAATAAATTGTGTTCATACAGCTGTAACCGCAAGAGGAAAAAAAGTTTCCCTACCAGCAGCCTATTTCCAGCAGCGATTATCAGCTGAGTCCCGTCCGGTTTGAAGGCGAGATCGTAAATGCTAGAGAAGAGAAGCAGACGGGACACGCC